TATTTTTGTATATTTACTGAATTCATTTTCTAACTATATGCAGGTTTTTTGTTGCCAGTATAGGTTCTGGATTATTCCAATATCCTTTCTAAATATATCAAGGTTAATAAGCATTTCCAATTGTTTTTTGTGACAGGTTCAATATTTTAAATGGTTGCCAAGAGGTTAAAATAAAACAGATACATTTTAGCAGAGTAGATTGGGCTCTTTACTTTTGGGCAGCAGCTAGTCTAGGCTAAGTAGGAGGACTCACTGAGGATGTGCCAGTTGTGAAAAGGGTACTGGTGTGGAAAAAATGAGCTGAGTTCATGTTCCAGCCTAATTCCTTGCATTCATTTTTGCACAAATGCCCTTTGGAAAGGCATGAATCCATCTCTTCTTTTCTCACAGCTATGAATTAATAGCAGAGTAGATTCTTTAGCCTTGGGTGGAAGCCAGTCTATGATAAGGCCTTTTTCTGTTGCATTCAATTTTTACAAATTCTGTTGGGAAAGGCCAATGAATTTCCCCCCATAGCTATGAATTAGTAGCAGATTAGAATTTCTAGTCTTGGGTGGCCTTTTTCTGTTGTGTTCAATTTTGCACAAATTCTTTTGGGAAAAGGTATCAATTCATATTTCCCCTACCCAATTATGTGTTAAATAGCAAAGTAGATTGGGCTCTTTAGCCTTGGGCAGAAGCTAGTCTAGGAGTGGGAGGAGGACTCATTGAATTCAGAACTGTGGAGAAGGCAACAGGAAATGACTTAAATGCATGGAGAATATCATATAATGAGCATATGAATTTATTTCAAACTGTTTCATAATTTAAGTGCAGTACTAGACTGGCGATTAGGTTTCATCAATTTACACTTGAGTTGACTAGATGTAACCATAAATTCCATGCTAACATTTTCTTTTCATGCACTTCTTGCTTGTAGAACTCCTTTCCAGCTCCATGCTTTCCAGCCAACTTTAATCTGCAAAAATTTAAATGCAATGTCAATCACCATCTATTGTCCTCCTTATTACTTGTTTTTTGTTCTTGCAAATTTTTTAACAATGTTCCTGTTTCTAACACTTCCACACCCAGTAACACCTTGTGTCTCGGTGGCTTTACTGCCTTGCTTGTGGTAAACTCTATTAAAAAAAAGATTCAATGATATTCTTTTTCTTCAGACATTTTTATTGATTCACAAACTTATTAATGCTAAAAATGTTTTTTAGGCTACTTGATTTATTGATTATTTGAGAAATCACAAACTCATTGCTTATAAAATGTTTCCTAAATCTTGATACATTTGTGCTAATTTGTTCATTTGTATCAGAAAAGGAAGATTTGAAATTTCTTATTAACCATTTAAGGCTGAAAGTAGACAAATGTACCCATGAGTTTCACATACTTACAGTTTTGGAGAACATGAATGTGTCTGCAATTGGGCAGCACTGTATTTTCATACAGATTGTTAACACCTGTCACATGATCAACTAGAAGTACTGGAAATCTATATCTTGTAAAATCTAGGAGGCTAGATTCAGTATCATTTGAAAGAAAAATTAATTTACCTTCATTTAAAATCAGTTTGTCATAATTTATTTTTAACAGTTTTATTTTCTTTCAATATATCAATTTAATTACACTAAAATCATAGGTTTTTCCAGAATTTGGTCAGGACTCTAAGGATTTAACAATTGAAATCTCTCTAGGAATTAAAAAATGGGCTCAAGGAGTAGATGTAAGTTTATTCCTCCCTAGGTGCTCCACACTTGTGGTGTTGTGCCTTATTAGGCTAAGTTTAGTAAATATCATTAAGCAGTGATAGGGTTGAGGTCAATTGATAGGGTAGATAAAGTGTCAGCCTGGAGGGCTGATTCTTATCAGTCAAGAAATTTAATAAAGTATCATTTGACCTTCAGCTGACAGCAGCATTCATAAAAGAAAATGTGTATTGAATTCGGTGATCATTTCCTGAGTAATCAATCATGGTTTTCAGGCCTGTTTTATTATAAATTAAATAAACCACAGCCAACTAAAAAAAAAGAAAAGAAAACTACTTTCTTTCTGATTAAGTACTGAACCGCTACTTTCATTGAAATAAAAACTTTGACACCAATTCAAAAGTGTGCTTGTCTCAAGACGAAGCCTTTGGCAAGCAAATGAAAATATGTACACTAGATCTCATGTCCTATGTTAAAAGAACTCTTTCAGCAGTAGTATCAGGATGTGTGGATAGCATAACAGGTATCAGTGGAGAAAGTGGAATTTGCAAGCAGAGTTTAAATTCTAGCCAAGAATGACATGCAAATTTGTGAAGCACTCCAATTTTTTTTTTTACTGTTGAAATTACTAGAGGTAACTGTAATAACAACTCAGAGTATGATAAGACTTAAGAAAGCTTTATTGCTTATTTATAGTATCTAAGTAAGGGAAAGTTCTTCTTTCAGGGGAGACAATTGTCATCAAGAGAGGTAACTCCTGTTGGTCTATACAACAGTAACCATAAGTTCTATGTTAACTGTTTTTCTCATGTTTCTCACTTGTGAAACACTCTCCTGGCTTTTTACATATATATTTTTTTTTTATAGTAAGGTTCATCTTGTAATCAAAGGCCAGGGGGTTGCTCACTGAAGTAGATTAAATTAAGAGGCAGTTTATATGGATAAGAGAGGAGAGATAATGGTTAACCCTAGACTTGAACAGGTTAATATTGTAGTGATTGGGAAAAAATCCTTTTGGGAGCTGATTCCTCAGAGTAGTGATTCGCAGGAAGAAGCTGTTCAAGTGGAACTGACTTCTCACTGATGGAATATGGAAGGAATGTAGGTGGTTTTCCACAATATACATGGGTTCTAGATGTAAAGGCTAGACCTGGTGGAATCAAGGAATATAGTTTATCCAAGCAATTAACATAGATATAGTGATAGAGCAGCAAGAGGCTTGCCACATCCTGATTGTGAGAAAGAGGTTGGAGGGTGGAAAATAATTTGTCACCTAAAAGAACTCAGAGATGCTTTTGAACTCTATCAAGACTGGAAAGTGAGGACTGGGCAGATCCCGACCAAATATATGACAACAGTAATCCTTTTTCGGCCTGATCTGGCTCTTGTAAATGTAGAGGGTAGCATAAGGTGTCAGGTACAGAGAGTTGACTATTTTTCCTACATCTTTAATGAGGGATTGTATGTAAGAGTTCCACTTGAGGTCAGGTGTGAGTTTAAGGTCCATAAACTCTCAAGGCATGGAGCCTCTCTGAGGGGACATCCATTCATCATGACTGGTGGTAATTTGGGGTCGAATCAGTGATACAGTCAACTTTGATTTTCAAAAATTTCAATGCAATGTCAACTCTCATTTTTTTTTTTTACTAATGTTCACTCAGTATAAGGCCCAAGAGCCACTCGAGGTAGTGGGTTACTCTGTGGTGTTGTATGAGCATAAGGGGAGGCAAGAAGTGCAGTTCATGAGGTTATGTAGGAAAGATTAACCCTAGACATGATGAGGCTGAGATTATAGTGGTCAGGAAAACATCCTGGTGAGAGACTGTTCCACAAAGCAGCAGTTCTTGGAAAGAAGCTGTCTGAGTAGAACTCCCTCCTTACTAATGGAATATGAAGGAAATGTTTGCGTGGCATGGTGGGTCCCAGATGCAAATATCAGGGCTACAATCTTCAAAAATTTAAATGCAACATCAGTCATAATCTTCTGTCTCCTTGAATCCTCTTTTTTTATAGTCCTCTTTCTTCAATAATATTTTTTATCAGATTCTTTTACTCTCAGTAAAACCTTGCATCTTAGTGGCTTCATCACCTTGCCTGATATGTTTACTTATGAATAAAGGGCCTTGGAATTAATCCCTTTTCCTCCCCGCTATGTGTTAAATAGCAGGATAAACTCTCTGGCAAAATAAAGAAGGCACAAGGCGTTATTTATACTCAATAATACATGGACATCTCAAAGCAAATTAGAAGGAAATCCAAGTATTTTTGTGCCCCATAAACTCTCACAAGAGAATCAAGCACAATATTTAGCAATTTGCAACAGTCTGCTATATAAATGAACAGCCACCTTTTGTTTACAGGAGTTTTATAGGAAGTGAGAAATGGGTGCTGTAGGTTACTCATGAGGAGGTGCCAGTAGTATAAAGACTACTTAGTGTGGAAATGAGCTGTTCATCTTCTGGCCTAGTTTGTTGCATTCACTTTCGCACAGATGCCCTTCAGAAAGGCACGAATCCATCTTTTCTTCCTTTACAGCTATGAGTTAATAGTAGAGTAGACTCTCTAGCCTTGGGTGATAGCCAGTCTAGAAGAGGGCCTTGTCTGTTGTGTTCAATTTTGCACAATTTCTCTTGGAAAAGGCATGAATCCATCTCTTCTCCCAGTTATGTGTTAAATAGCAGGGTAGATTGGGCTCTTTAGTCTTGAGCAGAAGCTTGTCTAGGAGGAAGAGTAGGAGGACACACTGAATTGAAAACTGTGAAGAAGGCAATAGGAAACCATTCCGCTATATTTCCCAAGAAATCAATGTAATTCATAGAATCTTTTTCAAAATCCCAAAAGTTATGGTAATTCACAGGAATCAGTGGAGGGATGGAATTGCCTATGTCTTGAAGAGATACAGTATTTCAAAAAAGAAAAAAATATAAAGCCCATCATAGTCTTTATCAATATCATTGTATCTTGTTAATGCTGACTATAATAAATCACACTTTTCTTTCATCACAACAATGCTATTCATACTGTGCTGGCATTCTTTAGTAAATCAGACTTGTTCATAAGAAAAAGAAAAAAAAAAAGTCCAGTGACAAACAGATTGGTACAACTGGAAAATGAAACTAATAAAATTACATCTCGACTATAGAAAAAAATAGAAAAAAAACCCGTCTACATGCAACTACTGAAATAAGTTTATACTTAATTGTATTGCTTGTAAAATATCCTGAGAAACATGCTTTGTTGTTTAGTGCTAATTTTAGATTACTGAATGTCTCGCCTCTCAAGCATTCATTAACATATATAGGCTTACAGCCATATCACGTTGAAACACCAGTTGTCATAATCACTGAAGTTAAGCAATGTTGAGACTGGTTAGTACTTGAATGGGTGACTGCTTGGGGATTCAAGGTGCTGTAAGCCTATATATGTGGTCTAATAATAACAGCTAGTTGGCTTCATTATATTCACTTACAAATAATCTTGGGAAAGGTATGAATTCAGCTCGTCTCTCTTCCCCCAGCTATGGATTAATCAGTAGGAGTTCATCATGATTATATCCCAAAAAATTGTATTACAATCTAAAAATATTTTCTGGCTTTAAATAACCTGGAAAAGGTTGATAAGCTGTAAAAACAAATCAATCAATCTTGTGTGTGTATATATATATATATATATATATATATATATATATATATATTATATGTTATGACATTGAATAAGGTCTTGCTGTTTTCCAACAGATGGCATCCCCAGAACTGCATGTGTGTAGTTTCAGATGGTAATGCATCTATAAGGAAGTACTAAAAGCAAGTTTGAAATTCAGTGTATGTCATTTTGTCAAAGTGAAAATGACTTTGTCTTTCATAGCATTAAACAAGTCAGATTTTGTGCCAAAGAAATTTTATTTGTGGGGAATTTTCCTGCACTACTTTATTCAAAAGAAATCTGCAGCTGAAGCAGACAGAATACTTGTTGTGACTTATGGTGATCATGCTCTGTTGGAAACAACATGCAAAGATTGGTTTAGACACTTCAAAAATAATGATTTTGAAGGTAAAGAAAGTGCTGACACACAAAAAAAGTTTGTAGATGAAGAATCGGAGGCATTACTTCATAAAGACTCATGTCAAGTGAAACCTGAACTTGCAGAATCATTAGGAGTTGATCACAAAACAATTTCAAAACGTTTGAAAGCATTAGCAATGATTCAAAAGCAAGGATATTGGGTGCCATATGAGTTGAAGCCAAGAGACGTTGAACAACATCTTGTCACGTGCAAACAGCTGCTACAATGGCCAGGCCATGCATCAACACCAGCAGCAAAGTTGAATATTCATGTTTCAAAGCTTCTGCTCTGTATTCAGTGGGATCAGCTGGGTGTAGTTTATTATGAGCTGCTCAAACTGACTGAAACCATCACAGGAGATCACTATTGACTACAATAGATGTGTTTGAGCTGAGCATTGAAGAAAAAACGGCCACTATATGAGCAGAGACACAAAAAAGTGATTTTTCAACATGACAACACTAAGCCACATGTTGCAAAATGAGAGAAAACCTACTTTGAAACACTTAAATGGGAAATCCTACCCCACACACCATATTCACCAGACATTGCCCCATCTGATTATCACTTGTTCCAATTGATAGCATACGGCCTGGTAGAGCAACACTTTCATTCTTATGAAGATGCCAAAAAAATGGATTGACTTGTGGTTAGTCTCAAAAAACATGTAGTTTTTCCACTGTGGAATTCAAATGCTGCTAGAAAAATGGGAAAATATAGTGACTAGTGATGGAGAATACTTTCAGTGACATGTTTCTTACTAATTTTTGTAAATAAAACATTACTTTTCATGAAAAATCAGTGAGAACTTATTCAAGGTCCTAATATATATATATATATATATATATATATTATATGACACATTATGTAAAGTGAATGTTTCTTAATCTACTTGACTTAACTCTATATTATACCAGCTTTACAACAAAATCCATAACATTGGAATAATGCTAATTTCTTTTTAATCATTTAACCCCATTTAAGGCAATAATTTCACTAAGATACAAAGGGATTACTGAGAGTGAAAGAGAAGGGAAGACTTTACTGAGGAAAAAGGACAATAAAAGAACAAGATTCAGGAAGGCAGGAGATGGTGGTTTGGCATTTCATTTCAATTTTTTGTGATTGTATGTGGCAGGGAAGCAAGAAGTGAGTTCCACAAGTGAGAGGTGTGAGAAAAGAAACTGTTACAATGAAACAGATAGTTGCATCTAGCTAGTTCAACTGTAAAACAGTGAGACCTTGTTGCCAATTGAGTAGCACATGCAGTCAAGAAAATATTTGTAGAAAAGATGGAGAGAAGCCACATCACAATGGTGAGAATGTGACTGAAGTCAAGATGCTAGGCGAGGATCAATTATATTACAGACCCTTTGAATTTTTGTCGAGAATCTTGTGCTATATTATATAGTTTGAACGTCAGACCAGATATGGTAACAATATTCAATTCATGTACGAATGGCAGATTTATAAAGGTACAAGATGGATTCTGATGAGTAAAATGCATGTTTGTGGGATTTTTTTGGCATTGACTTTCTGTTATTTTTAAAGGCAAATATTTTAGCAGAAAAATCAAGCAAAAAAATTTACATAACCAGGACTTTATTTAGGAATCAAATAACTTACCAGTATTTACATTCTTTTCACTCAAACTAACATTGTTATTTTTATTTCTTATTAACATAATGTTTTGGCTGTTATGCTCTCTGGCCTTCTTCAGGGGTTTCTCAAGCAATGTAACCTTCATGGAATTTTGAACTGAGCCTTTTATTTAATCTATGGGGTAGCTTAATGAACTGAAGCATTGTTTCATGAATTTGGTGATATAGTGATTGTTGAGTTCAATCCCTGGGCTGGGTAATACAGATTTAGACTCAGTGGAAACAGGGCAAACAATAACTGAGCAGTACCAAATAAGAACTAGACATGGTTTGTGGAATGAGAAGAATCTACCCCATAGATTAAATAAAGAGTTCACTTTAAAATTGTCTGCTGGTTACCTGGACTAACAAACACCTGAAGGAGACTGGATGATACAATGGCCGAAACGTTGTGATAGCAACAACAAAAATGAGGACATTAGTTTCAATGTAAATAATATGTTTCAGTTGTTGTGTCCTCTGGCCATCATCATGTGTTTGGTGAGCCAGATAACCTTCAGGGAATTTTGAACTGAACCCTTTATTTACCCTATAGGTGTAGCCAAGTGGATTAAAGCATTGGTTAATGAATTTGGTGACATAGTAATTGTGAGTTCAATCCCTGGATCAGGTAGTACAGACTTAGATTCAGCAATAACTGAGCAGTAGTAAAAGAAAGGACAAGACGAAATATCTGTAGATATGAACATGGACATGAGAATAATCTATAATCTCATAGATTAAATAAAGGGCTTAGTTCAAAATTCCCTGAAGGTTATTCAGACTGACAAACACCTGAAGACGGTCAGAGGACGCAATGGCCAAAGTGTAATAACTACAAAGATGAGGATATTAATCTGAATTTAAATAATGTAAATAATGATAACTCTACAATATGAAAATTCAAAGGGAAGCTTACCTGTACTTGGAATTTCTTTCTTTTGTGGTAAAGTTTTATTGTTCAGTTTTTCCTTCAGCTGGTTCATATATTCATGTAATTCTGGCAGGGACCTGTTAAGAAAGAAAATAAAATCACTTTTTTTTGTTTCTGTCTATATTTTTGAGATGAGGTGTTATGTACACTATTTACATTATTCGGACTATTGTTGCCATATTTATCACAACGTTTCGGCTGTTGTATGCTCCTGCTTCTTCAGGTAGTTGGAATGTCAAACTGAACCCTTTCTTTCACTCGCTAGGGTAGACTGTTCTAGTTCCATGTGCCATGTCTAATGGATGTCAGTTATCAGTTTTTTCCTCACCAAGTTCTCCACTTAACCAGATATTGAACTCACACTCTTTGGGTTCTGTCACTGGATCTAACTAACGCCTTTATCCACCATGCCATGTGTCCTTGAGGATATCTGTGTATGAATTTCTGGGTATTATAAAGCTAATGTCTTCAGCATCATTTTTTACCAGTGCTCATATTGCAATTTTTGCTGTTATCATTGCATTTTTTTTTTTACCAGAGCCCATATTGCAATTTTTGTTGTTATTATTGCTTTTCTCTGGCACTCCTTATTACTGGTTCCCATATTGTATTCATTTCTATGTTTGGTTGGCTCAGGAGATTTTTGTGGCTGGCCCAAAAGCCAGTAAACTGGGAAGTTGCATTAGTTTAAGAAAGGACAAGTATTAGGAGTACAGAGCTGAAGCAGACTTTAGAAGGAACTGGAAAACCAATCCTAAATAGGAAACAAGGGACAATTCCTGCTTGAAATACCAGTGACTGAGCAGCCAGTACTGTTTTCAGTTGAAATTCATAAGATATTTCTCTTAAAACAATTTTTTCAGGAAAAAAGGTTTCTTAAGACCATGTTATATTCTGTGCTAATAGGAATATATATTTGAAAAACAAGGTGGATAAAATAAGTAAAGGTTTATTGTAAAAACCAGTACAATAACAATAAAGGTAACAGTTATGCACAGGGTCATCACAAGTCAATCCAGTAGTGAGTGCTACTATTGGAAGGTCAGTAGTTTTTGTGTAAGTCTGAGTTGTACTCAACAGGTCCCAGCTAGACTCTGTACTCTGTTGACTTACAGATACTTATAGGTAGTTACTACCTATAGTGTAGTCACTTATGGGGGTGACAGGTTATTCCGTTACATCAGTCCAGTAACTGATTTTGATTGGGGTTTCCATTATAATTTTTTGTTTGAAGTTGTGTGGAACATCAACATTTTGATTATGTCATTGCTTTCTCTTCAAGTTACATGTGATATCAATTTTAGTTGTTGCTTGGTGTACTTGGACTACCATGAAAGTCTGAGTTGGGCATCAGGAAGAGCATCTGGCCTTGTAAAATATTGCCTTGAATCATTATAACAAATCATTTGTCAGGCATAACCCCACCTTGCCTTGCGCAAGATTAATCCCGATCCTGCCTAAAAAAAACAACATGGGGATTTGTGTATGTATGATGTTGAAAATTCTCAAGTGAGTTGGTTTCTTTTATCTTGTACAGTTCTTTGTTTGTGATCCTGTAGTGCCAGTTCATAGTGTTTGAAGAAGGATGGTTTTCACCAAGATCCACAGGCTTCACTTGCTCAAAGCCATTTTTAACCATTGATCTTAGAAAGTGGTAATATATGATAATAACTGCTTCAAGAGAAAATTGTCTATTTGTCTGGTTCCATGTCAAACTTTACTCAGAAAAGATATTAAACAACATCTGATTATGGAGAGTTCTTTTTTTTAATGATATGGGATTGTTTTGAACTGACGATTTCATCCGTGAAACTAAAATATCTTCTTTATACTGAAAATAGCAAAATGTCAATTACTAAAACTTACAACAATGAGTCAATATATACTCTTTTCCTGAAGATCAATACAGAATAATAGTTTTGTGTTTAGGAAACCAGAAATCACAATATAATTAAATTAGTCTCTCTCAGGTTTTATATATATATATATATATATATATATATATATATATATATATATATCAAATAAGTTTGATTAAAAAGTACCAACAAGGTCTGTCTGTTTAATTCATTTTTTGTACAGCCTCATTCCCAATAGCTATTACACATAACAACATTCTAGACCATTTCAAACATCCAGCTTCCCAAAGAATGCCAACATGAAGACAAAGGAATTCTAACTTCAACAGAGACACCACATCAGTTATTGATAATGATATGAAAGCCAAAAGTACTTGGACAAAAATGACGAATTATGAACTTTGGCCAGTTTATCCATAACTTCAAGCACAAGACTCAACAACTTATCTGAAAATTTGAAAAGAAAACTTTTATTGAACCAAAAATAAATTACAGTAGTTTAAGAAAATTTGTAAGTATTGTCACATAAAAAACGATTTTTTATGATTACCAAACTATTTCACATGTTCAAAATAATGCTGAACCCTCTCAGCAACACTTCTACAAACCATTTGACATAATTCTACATTAATTTTAGTGAATTTATCAGAAATTGCTTGTTTTAATTTGGGAATTGTTTTTGGTTTCAGCCCATAAACAAGATCTTCAATTACACCCTGCAATAAAAAGTCTGGTGGTGTTAGGTTTGGTCATTCTGATGACCAGTCAATTGTTCCATATCATCCTGTCCACCTCAGCTTGAAATTAGATTTAACCATTCTCAAATGAGTAAGCCATTGTTGATCTTAAGTCATCTTAATTTATTTTTGTTCAGTAAAAGCTAATGAATAAAAAAAGAGTATTACTTTTGTCACAACATATATATATATATATATATATATATATATAAGAGAGAGAGAAGATGATATATAAATTTTTATATGCCAGAACAATGTTAGGAAAACTAAAGAATTAAAATATATTATTCTACCTACCAACTCTATCACAATTACAATTGTAAAGAATTTATCTAAGTTTAATATAAAACTTGTTACAACTACTTCTAAAATAATAAAAGACTTAATTGATACAAAACAAAATAATGATAAACTAGAAATTGCAGGAGAAATTTGCTTTATCACCTGTAATAATTGCCACAAGGAATACATTGGAGAAACCTCAAGGAATTTAAATAAAAGACTGTATAAAGACAAAAGGGATCTTTTACAAAACAATTTACTCAATGCATGTTGGTCATTGTAATGAGTCGGACCATAATTTCAATTTAAAAAACGCTACTTTAATTAAAAGAGAAAGCAATTTATTAAAACAAAAGTGTATAGAAAGTGCTTTAATCACTAGATCATCCTTAGTACATTTACATCCACGTTCTTACAACATTTCACCTTTCTTGGCAGATCTTTTATTATCACAATTTTGAACACTTAATAACAAAAGTGATAAAAACATAAGTGAAAAGAAAAAGAAACTAAATGAAATTAATTAGACTATATAGCCAAACACATTCCCTACCCTTCCCTTTGTATACATGAGTAGTGACATCAATGGAAACATCACATTAGTCTGATGAAGTCTTAAAGCAGTGTTTCCCAAACTTTTTTGTCTGGGCTGCATTTTCAGAATGAAAATTTGCTCACACCTAAACAAATTTTATATGATAAAAAGTACATTTAAAAATAAAAAAACAGAGTGTGGCTTAAAGGGAGAGAACTATGGATTTGAAGATAGAACATTATCATTGATAACTCCCTCCCCCATTTGTGGACCCTAGTTACTATATTCTTAATACTTGATATAATGCAAAAATATCACAATGACAAAATCGCTCAATAATTATTTGCAATTGCTTATAATGGGACTCAGGTATGCAATCACAAGTAATCCATAATAATATTTTAAATTTTGAAATCATAGTTATTTTTGGCATATGAATTTTTTGAAGCTGTTTCTAAATCTTTGATTGTCTTTCAATCATTCGCCTCACCTGCTATCCTCTTCTGCCGCACATATGAGGTATGTCACACCATTTGGGAACCACTGGCCTAAAGGATAAAATGCATCACACAAAACTTTTTTTCACTTTGCCATTAATTTTCTTAAATTTTTTCTGGAATATGTATATTTTATTGCTATAAATCTCATATTTACTAAATACACATGCTTTAGTAAACACCTTGTTTTATTAAACAGTGTAATTGACGTCTGCCAGCCTGGATGATTGGAAACCTTGATAAAGAGAATGTGCCTTATAGCATAGATCAAATCCAATTTAAGGGGAACTATAGACATTCAATTACACTGTCTAAAAAAAGGGACATCTACAGTAGCCCTAAATATAATGTTTAAAGTAATAAATAATATTGGATTATAAATAAAATCCATTATTTTATTTATTTATTTTATTGTTTCACTCCAAGCAAGGCAATAATGCCACTAGGATGCAGGGGGCTACAGGGAATGAAAAAGAATGAGAAGACTTTAGTGACGAGAAGTGAGGAAAAGGGACAATAAAGGAACAGCGTTCAGGATGACAAAAGATGGCAATTGATGTTGCATTTAAATTTTAGAAGATCATAGGTGGCTTGGAAACAAGAAAGAAGTTCCACAGGTGAGAAGTGTGAGAAAAGAAACTGTTAGAAGTGGTGGTTGCATCTAGGTAGTTCAACAGTAAAATGGTGAGACCTAGCTGCCAATCAAGTAGCTTGATTAAATTCATGTAGTCGAGGCACCAAGGAAAAAAAGTTCATCAGCACAGTTTCCATGAAAATATTGTTGAAAAGTCATAGGAAAGCCATGTCACATCGGTGAGAAATTGATTGAAGTCAAGATCATTTACATTACAGATTCTTCTTTTGTCAAGAATCTGGAGATATACAGCAGGAGAAAGAGCTCCGATATGGCAGCAATATTCAATGCATGTATGAATGGGAGATTTATAAATGTGCAAGATGGATTCTGACAAGAGAAATTTTCTGGCATGACCTAGTGAACCAATTTTCCTAGCAGTAGATGTAGTAATTGATTTGATATAGTCATTCCATAACATGTCAGTGGAAGACATGAGCCCTAGAAGGTATAGTGTTCTTTTGGTCATGGTATGTTATAAAGGTGAAAAACGCTAAGAATAATAATAGCTTCCAGTCATCTCTGATAATATG